GACCTGCAGAGCACGCACCGCTGCCCACGGCAGCCCAGCCGCGTCCGCAGTCAAACTGTCGACCACACCCTCTGACACCTCCTCGGCCGCGCTGTCTTTGGCGCAGCCGCCGCAGAAGCCCTCGAACATGCAATCTCATCCGTTCGAGTGCGCGACGGCGCAGGCCCGCGCCGACAACGCGCGATCATTCGGCCAAGCCGACCCGCCGCAGAAGATGCGGGCCTGACCCGCTGGCGCACGCAGGGGCGGCAGCATGCTAAAACCAACCTCGCGCGCTCACGAAGTTGAAGTTGTCCGGCATCCCGCCGCGAGTGGACGTGCCCAAGTCTGCGCCGGCACTCCAAGTTGACTGGCAAAGGGGCATCCATCGCGCAGATGCCCACTCCCAAACGGTAGTTCATTTAACCCCGGGCAACAATTGGGATACGAACCATTGTTCCGCCAGTTTTATCGACGGATTGGGGCCCCGACAACAGTTGGAAGTTCATTATTCTCGTCGGCGGATGCATGAGAGGTCATGAGAAGTGCTCAAAAATCCCATCGCTCAACGCCTGGCGGCCTCCTCCTCCCCCCCCTCCTCCTCTCCGACGCGCCACCTCTCCTCAGGAGGATGGGGGGGGGGGTGGAGGACGGAGGGGGGGGAGGAGGGATGGGAAGGAGGAGGAGGAGGAGGAGGAGGAGGAGGAGGAGGAGGATCGGGTTCCCATTCCCCGCCGAAGGCTTTGGCGGGGCGCATCAACGCGCAAACCTGAATTGCGCGTGCCATTGTCATGCCCCAAAGCGCAGTTCGCCCCGTCAGAGGCGACACTCTTTGACCTGACATGGCAGGAGAAGGATCATCTTGCATAGCCACTGGCATCGCCTCCCTTGATGACTGGGGCGGAACGACAGAAGGATGTCCAGCGCGCAGAATGCCGGCGCCACCGCAAATCTGCGTCAGCGGGGCTGGCGACGCGAACTCGACGACCTCGTTCGCCGCGGCCGGATCTCGACGCCCAAAAGCCCTCGACCTCAGAAAGCGACGCTGAGCAGTCTGTTGAGGTGGTAGCCCCACCCGCATAGGCTCCTCAACCTCTTGCGCGGTCAGCGGCGCGGTCGACGAGAGCCGTCGACCGCTGTCGGAACTCCAGCCTCGCAACCTTGCCGAGTAACCTGACGCGCTCCTCCTGCATGGCCTGATGAACCCGCCGACCTGATGAGAGTCTTCAACAAACAGGGCGTCGTGTTCAACTGCACCATCACCTTCCTCCACCGCCATCGCTATTTTTTTGTTCTCTCTCTCTCTCTCTCTCTCTCTCTCTCTCTCTCTCTCTCTTTCTCTCTCTCTCTCTCTCTCTTTTTTTTTCTCTCTCTCTCTCTCTCTCTCTCTCTCTCTCTCTCTCTCTCTCTCTCTCTCTCTCTCTATCTCCCGGTGATCCCATTCGCCCGGCGTGCGCGCCACTCCTCCACGTGACATCGGCCTCCTCGTCCTGCGAGCTTCCGCAAGTGCTGCCGCGCCGACCGCGGCTGCTCGACCAATGCCGCGCAGGACGCTCGCTGCCAATACTTCTGTTCGCGGAGTCCTCGCCCGCAACCCTCGCCCTCGATGCAGACGACGCATGTTGCCCCCCCCCCCCCCCCCCCCCCCCCCCCCCGCATGGCCACCAACCACTTCTCCGCTCGAAGCAAATCCTTCAGCAGATCGGTCGAGCATCTCAGCGGGCGCGCGCGCAACAGATGCTGCCAAGTCACCACTTTCTGTCAAGTTGCCCTCCGTCGCGGACCCCCGACTTTGGACTGCGCCATCGCTTCGGCCCGCCCCGCGCCCCTCCCCCAGCCAAACTGTTCTGCCTCGTAAGCTCGTTCAGCAAGGGTGGCGCCGTCCTCGGCCAGGTCGAAAAGCTCGTCATCTTCCCCTTCTGCAATCAGGACAAGCTCGGCCATGGCGCCCTGATCAAACAACGAGAGCCCACCAGCAGACGCTGGGTCCACATCGTCAGCATGATCCATGGTTGCGAGTCGCCTCGCAGGTTCTTGCATCAGAAGAACGCTCCGCCCAGACGCCGCCTCCTCCTCCGCGAAGAACACCTGCTGGTCGGCGAACCGCTGGTTGAACAGAAAGTCATCTCGATCTCTCCCCAACCGATCTTCTAGTTCCAACATAGCGACGACCATGCTGGCAACCGCGCTCGCACTTGTGGTCGCTGTAGGCGGGGTCGCACATGGGCGTCTCCAGGTCCTTGGCATCTCTGGCTCCTTGGTCCTTCTGAAGCGCGCGCCCCGCCTCAAAATGTTGAACATGGCCTCGCCGCCCCCGTCGCAATTTCTTCGCTAACTCCCTGTCGGGACAAAGACCACGAGGGCATGGTGCTCGTCTTTGTTTCGGCTCTTTCGTCGGTCCGTAGGGCTCATCATAATGACAATATGCTGCTCCATCTGCCTCGTGCGCTCCTCTGCTGGCTTTCACCGCTTGAAATGACTTGGTCATATTCGCTTCACTGTTATTTGTTTTTGCCGGGCCATCTCAGACTGTCTCGCCATCATCATCCACCCGGACTCGCAATGACACTCCAACTTCTGCTTTTCGTGCTCTACCTGAGACTTCAGTTGATTTGATAGATCACCAGCTTCTGTACATGTGTTGGTCGAAATCTGCACATCGAGCCTGCGAGTTCTTCACTGCTGACCCGACAAGCTGCCCTGCTGCTTCCTAAGATATGTTGCCGTCTGCTCCAACTCGTACCTGATCTTCCTGGAGTTGGAGTCCTCCCCACCCGTGTTGCCCTTCACGATGTACTCCTCTTAATACGCAAGTTCCATATCCAACTCCTTCCTCGCGTGCTGCTTGGCGTTGTTGCACTGCACGTATGCCTGCACTTCAACCTTGTGATGTTTCAGCTCACCTTGCTGGATGTGATGTTCAGTAGCTTCACGAAACTCTGGGCCTCCCCGAGAGCCTGCACATTGACTTCTCTCCTTCCTCGATCTTCGCCATCTGCCGAGCCCAGGCTTCTATCATGTGTCTCCTTCTCGTCCATCGCGGTCTTGGCCTGCACATGCACTGCCTGGGTCGCTTGCAGCACTGCTGCCGCCATCAATGTTGACAGGGGCTCCCCGACGCCACTCTCTCTTTCTTGGCGTCGGACTGCAGTGAACGGCGGCAGCTTGACTTTACTCGATGCATCTCCTGCAAACGATGCCGATGCCCGAGGTGTTGGGAACCTCGAGAATAGAGCCATGCCGATGCGCCGCAGTAACTCCGGCCACGCCCATAGCATCTGGACTCTGAGATCTGCGTGCATGCCCACATGGTCGAGCATGCCTGCCAACAACAGCCAGTGGACTTCCATGGTCTTGACCCCCAGGACTGTGCGTAGGAGGAACTGGTACCCGCGACGCGTCACTGAATCAACGTGCCGGAACTGGTTTGGGGGTGGCGGCGGTGGTGGTGGTGGAGGTGGTGGCTCTGCCGCCGAAAAAGAACCAGCCCCTCCGCCTATCTGGATGGCAAGGACGGAGTGTTTTCATGCGATCGCGACATTCACCCGGTCCTGATGAAGGCTCCTGGGCAACTCCTCCAGCGGCAGCCTCTGTGAACATATCCTCGTAACAAGTCACCATCGACATTTCGTACAGCAACTCCACTTCAATCGCCGCCGCCTTCTTCCCTATATGGTTCAGCTTCTCCATGGTGGGACAGGAGCCGTCCAACGCCTCGCGCCTCTGTTTTTCATTTGGCTTCGTGGGCCAATGCAAAGTTTTTGGCACAGCTAGCGTGCCCCTGTTTCTGTAACCTCGTGCCACTTCGTTTGGCCTCCAGAAGAAGTTTGGCTGTAGATGTCATCTGTTGTTCGATCATAATTCTGTGAGCCGTCAAGGCGTTCGGCTGCGCTGGAGTGGCGACGGGCAAGGAGGCATAGGAAACGATGTCGTACATACCATGCAGTTGTCGAGCGTGTGATTGCTATCCCTGCCCATATGCGCCTGCTGTTCACGTTGCCTTCGTGCCTCTGCGAGTTGCTGATGATGTTTCTTATGTGTTTGGCGGCAACGTCATCCACGGCAGGCCCTGTCCTTCTCTGAGTTCTTGGTGCCACAATGGTTGCATGTCCACATCGGCATACCTGATGACCGATGTGCTGCTAAGAGGTCCTTCGCTTTCAACGCCTGCAACAGCACCCTGGCACGACCACGCAATCGTCGGCCACGCCGATGCCGCGCAGGCTCTTTCCGCCTGGGCGTGGAGGCAGCACAGCAGCGCCTGGGCGCCGAGGGCAGTCTGCTGCCGAAGCGGCCGCCGCCTCCAGGGGCCGCCGCCTCTGCGGGGGATGTGGCGGGGTGCCCCCCCCCGCGCGGCCCCTCTTGCGGCGCCTCGCTGCCGCCGCCCGCCGTGGGTCCGCGGGGGCCCCACCCCGAGCGGGCAACGGCTCGGGTTCCTTTCCTCTTCCTCCTCCTCCTTTTCCTCCTCCTCCATCTCCTCCTCGTCCTTTTCCTCTTCTTCTTCCTCCTCCTCCTCCTCCTCCTCCTCCTCCTCCTCCTCCTCCTGTGGCCCATGCACCCATGCAGAACGAACCCTCTTCAGGCCTGGCCGGGCCAAAGCATGCGAACCATTCGGGCGCGGCGCGCAGCCTTCCGTCGGTCGGCAAGTTAGGAGGCTTCGTTCGGTGCCTATCTCTGGCCCGATTCGCTTGGGCTTCGTGGCGCCAGGGGCCGTGCCCCTCTCCAGCTGCGGCAATCGCGCGCGCCAGGTCGACGCGAGAGGAATGTCAACGGAGCTATCTTGTCATCCTGGCATTTCGCATGCGTGACCTCTTGGTCTTCCCCTCGCCATCGCCCGGACGTCCATGTCCCGCGCATGTTTCGGTTTCGTGCGCGGTTTTTTGGCTCGATGGTCCAGGATGGTCCTCGATGTTTCTCGCCGAGAAAGAATGCACACGTCCGAGCGATGCCAAGTCCCATGTGTGCCGGCAGCGGTGCCTTCTCCCCCTCGGGGGTTCCTGGTCCCCCTGGAGCTCCCCCGCGGCGAACTCCAGCGCGCGCCCGTCCCGCCTCACCTGTGGGAGCGGCGCCCACGCACCGCACGAGAGCTGGGCCCCCCAACAGTGAGACGTCAAGACAGGGACAACACTGGACAGGGATGCGGTAGTAGGGGAACAGAAAGTGGCATAAACATAACAACTCTTTCTGTCACTTTTTTTATGTTTATGTCCCTTTCGTTTCCCTAGGCAGGTTCGCGCGGCGCGGGCGCGCGCAACAGCTTTTGCCACCGAGTCGCTGCTCAACCCTGCATCGATCGCATCCCCGATCGTTCCAAATCGACTTCCTTGGAGTCCAGTGGCATTACCATGTCCCTCGGTGGTTCCGCGTCGCAGAATTCAAACTTGCACGCATTCGGCGGAGTCGCCGGCGTGCCAACGCCGCACGTACTCCATCTTCCACGCCTTCTGAAGAGCAAGCTGTGGATTTGCATAGACATACAACTGTTGGAGCTCCGCGCGGATTTCTCGGATCGGCGCTGGCGCCTCAAGCACCGCCCCTGGCGCCTTCCGCGCGCCAGGGAGGAGGGTGCAGCGAAGACCAAGAGATCCGCGCGAAGCTTCGAAAGTGTATACCTGTGCAGTTTTTGTTGTTCCTCGAGATGAGATCACAAAATTAGCTACCTGCTGGTCAGAAGGTCTCGAAAGTGGAGACTCAGGAAAATCGAAGACCTTTGAGATCTGGCGGTTCTGGAAGGTGTATCGGGCGCCGCGGCCTTCTTGGAGCTTTCCGTGATGCTCTGGAACGATGTATCCCTGTCCTAGCCCCGCCCAGTTTCAGGCCCCGCTCCAACGCGGTACGGTGCATAGTTTTTTCGTCGCCGAGGGCCGTTCCTGGGTCGATGAGCGACGACGCCTATGGAGACGCCAATGCAGTGTGCCTCCCTGGAGGCCCAAGGAGGGGACAACGAGGCAAGGCCATGAGATCTGACGCCCCCAAAACTTCAACATCGCGAACAAAACCCTA